TCTGTGTTTGGGAGCAGCTCTTCAAAGGATAGTTGGTTAAGAATGTGGGACTTTAATAGGGTTGGTGAAAGAACAGCAGAGGATTCCATGCTTATTCTTTCAGCATCGTGGACACTGGAACGAAGAAGTTCTGGACTTTCAATGGAATGAAATGGATGAATGGACTGTTGCTAGTGTATCAGCTGATTTGGAGACCAGTGGTGGAGGCGGCATGCTACAGATATGGCACATGAATTTAGTGTGGACTATTGAAGTTTGCCCGTTGCAATGTATGTAGGAGCTATGCTTATGCTATGTTATTTTTTGTCATTATCTTTTTACAGTAATATAAACATTAGAAAATGAATCTAGCCTGATTAACTAATCTAAGAAATAGGAATCTATAAACTTGAACCAAGTCAATGGCAGCACATACCTTAAAGCTTCTTTGGCAGAAAACATTGAGAAGAGGTACCCTATGGATTTAGTTGAGATGCGCGAAAGCTGGCCGGAACATCATGCTGGATTATATATCGCAGCGGAAGCAATCACAGTATCATATTCACGTGTGAATTAAACAATTAGCACATACAAAGATTATTCGAGTTACTTCTTGAATCGTGAACAAAGCAAATCAATATCCGTCTCCAGTTTCAGAGTTGTAAGACCTCAACAAACTTCCACAGTCTTCTACCGCGTTATCCAAATAATATCTGAAAAGAGAGAATTTCGGGTGGGCGAAATTCAAGGAAGAAAAACATGTGTTTTATCGGTGCAAAAAAACGGCCAGATATATCCCATGTATATATAACTACGTTTTTTAGGTTAAAACCCTTTTCCAAAACCTGTTAAGTTTTCTTCTTCCACTAAGAAAAGGTTTCCTTTATTTCCTATTATTCAGGCACAGTAGGGACCACAAAATTTAATTAACAAGGCTTCCTATTATGGAATTAATTTCAAAATTTTGAAATTAATTTCTACCATAATAAATACGAATTATTCCACTAAAATTTCGTAAGTGCATTCCTTAGTTCAATTTCGAAATTCTTCCATAAAACCTTATTTAACTCATCATGTTAAGATTCAGATACTAACCAATCAAATTAAATTACTGATAATTTAATTTATTGATTACTTCTTTTAGACTTTCGCTTAACTTATTTCATGTGTCAGATACAAAATCCACCGGTCGGGTTTACACATGAAAACTTATAAGCTTTCATAAAGGAGTATCATCAATCTCAAAAACCGATATTGACTCACGAAAGAATCTCGCCTTTTAATAAATCAAAACAATAAATGACATACACAACTAATAATAACTATATCAAGATTAAGAGTATAAGAACATTGAATGGACTAGAGAAATTATTTTATTAAGTCAGTATAAAATACTTATCTCTACTTGATCCGTTCAATACATACAAAATGTACTAGCATAAGAAGTTGGAATTAGACCATTCCCATAATCAAAGATAAATTACTTTTAATCTTGTGCTACAACCATTCCGATGGTTTGTCCAATTTCATCGTTAGATTGTGAACATAAACTTTATGACTTATAAGAACCGATGATTTAATCCTCCGTGTATAAGCTAAGCTCTATACACTAAATCATCTACTATATAAGCAACGGACACACAAACCAATACATGATCTATTTAAAATAAAACTTTATTGAATTGAATAAGTAAATAAATAATTGTTCCATAAAGAATATTATAACAATAAGCATGGTTTATAGTATATCCTAACACATCAAGTAATGAGACAGAATTAGACATAGAAGAAAAGGCATAGATTGTGGAATACGATACCAACTTGCATTTGGTGGAAAAATGAGTAGAAGATGTTTAGATGACGCTGCTGATTCTATCATTAAAAGTCCAAATATATACTTTTGTAATTTGCTGATTGAGTAGATTGGATCATGTAAAATGATGTTGAATCACTCTTACAGATGCTAGAAGCCCTAAAGCATTAGAAGTTTAGATTAGAAAAGCCATGCTTTTTTGCTAGTTTTGCTTCTGTAAATAGTGTACAGTTGCTACATTTGGACTGTTGACTGTTGTATTGGCATGTATTGGCAGAAGTAAATATAAAGGCTTGCTCAGTTGGTAAAAGCACCTTCACCCATGATCGTTAGGTCCCGAGTTCGAGTCACGCTGGAGAGAAAGTGTGAAAACACTATAGATCCTCCTAATTAGAGAGGTGTTAAAAAAAAGTAAATATAAAGGCTTGGAATGTTTGTATCTGGAAAAAAAGTTGAGAGTAGGGCCAGAGGTGGATGTAGTCTTATAGCACCAGATTCATGTGAATCCAATAATTTTGACACGATCTGTAATTACTAAGATTACAACATATAGTTGATCTAAACCCATAAATTTTAAAATATACCCACTCTGTTTCAATTTAGATGAAGTAATTTGACTCGACATAGAGTTTAACAAAAAAGAAGAAGACTTTTGAAACTTGTGATCTTAAAAGCTCAAGGGTAAAAGTTTTGTGGGGTCATGACATTTGTGTAGTTATAAAAGCTTCTCATTAAGGGTAAAATAGATAAAATGAAGAGTTTAAAGTTGAATTATTTCCAAATTTAAAAATTGTGTCATTTATTTTGGAACATACTAAAAAGAAAAGTACCACATCTAATTTGAAACGGAGGGAATAGTCAATATTAAAAACCTTAAAAGTTAAATCGGTAGAGTTCAAATTCTGAATTCGCTTTCGAGCCGTGGAATCAGTGATGCTTGCATTAGGTTAGGCTGGCTACATTACATCCTATTGGGGTGCGGCCCTTCCTTAGTTTCCCCTACCCTGTTTAAACGCAAGATGCTTTGTGCATCATGCTTTTGAGTAGGGCAGTGGGTAGTGCAATTGGACGTGGGTGGTGTACACTATGAACCGATGCTCTATGAACACTATTTTGAAAATAGTGGATCAAGAAGAAGAGCAAGTGATTTGGGAGATTTTGGGAACCACCTAACGGATTGAGATGTATTTTAAAAAAAATTGCTAATGGTAGGTGTAGTTTGGCCGTATAATATAATGGTAGGAACAAATTTGACCGAATAGTATTACGAATGTTAAATGTAGACAATATTCAAAAGTATAGAGGTACATCCAAAAAAAAAATATTCTCAAACTGCAGCTTACATCAATATCAGCTTGATGCTATTGATTCAGTAGCAATTGAATCACAGAAAATGGAAGAAACATATGAAGCAGCTAATTTTTGGACCCAAGAACTACCAACTCTTCCACAAGAAGTCATCTTTGATATTCTCTTGAGGTTACCTGTCAAATCCCTCTATAAACTCATGTGTGTTTCAAAATCATGGCTTTCTTTACTCTCAAGTCTCAAGTACTGAATTCCACAAAGCCCATGTCAATTTTATCAAGCAGAACCCCAAATCAACTGATTATTGACTTGCTGTGGTAAAATTTTGCCATGTTTACACCATAGCATGTGAAAATTCATCTGTTACTGTGGCTAAACATGGTCGTTGTCCTCCTAAATCTTTGTCTCCCTCGGCTCGAGTATTGGGTTCTTGCAATGGGTTAATTTGTTTACGCAATGACACATTTACACTAATGTTATTGAACCCATGTAATGGAAAGTTTAACATATTTCGTGATTTTATGCTTCATTGTAATAGAAGGGGCGTATCTGGTAAAGTTGCTGTCATGTCGAGCCATCGAAACAACCTCTTGCAGAAATGCAGGGTAAGGCTGCGTACGATAGACCCTTATGGTCCGGCTCTTCCCCGAACCCTGCGTATAGCGGGAACTTAGTGTACCGAGCTGCCCTTATTCATGAAAGTGGTGGTGGTTGTTTTGTTAGATATGGATTTGGTTATGATGCATCTACCGAAAATTATAAGGTTGTGAAGATCTTTAGTTTTACTCAGATTGAGGGCTGATATGAGAACATGATTAAGGTTTATAGCGTAAAAGCTAGTTCTTGGTCAACTACACAAGGTTTTAATAGTGGTTATATAAATGGAAAGTTGGGTATGTTTGCAAACGGGGCTCTTCATTGGGAAGAATGTTATCGTCGTCGTTTGAGTGCAGTTCTTGGGTGATTGTTACTTTGGATTTGGCTGCAGAGAGATTCGGAAAAATAGCATTGCCTAGTTATGAAGATGGATGAACCAAATAGGGCAGACTTGTGGGTGATGAAGGAGTATAGTATCGAGAAAATCCTGGACTAAATTGGTTACCATCTCATCACCCGTTGTTCCAATGTAAGTTTTGGCCAATGTTGCGCGGACTCTCCAAAATGATACCACACCTCTGTTGGATCCTAAAAAAATACACTATTTTTGGAGGATCCGACACGCACCAGGCAACATTTTCGGAGAGTCCGAGCAACATAGGTTTTGGCATGTTCTTTGCTCTCCCGGAACTGTGGTAGGACCATGAATTTTGAAAACATGAACAATTAAGAACAAAAACAAACAAAAAAGCTACTAGCATATGCTTTGTTTTGTTTATTCTTGTGGTGGTCTTGAGGTAGTCGCTAAAGATGTACTTTTCCACTATGTTTAGCAACTGGGCTCTGCAAGACGATGTTATAATGTGTGAAGGAAATCTTTTTCTTTTTATATGTGTTATAACTAAGTTGGGTTATGCTAGGAATTCCATTTGATAAAAGAAAAAAGAAGAAGCAGGGTTAGGTCAGGAATTTGTATGTCAGTGTTGTGATAGGTGTGGTAATATTGATGATATGAGTTGAGCTTACATATAGAAATGAGGATTCATATCGCCGACCCCAACTTGTTTAGGATTTAGGTGTAGTTGTTGTTGTGATAGGTGTGAGATTTAGAGAATCTATAGTACTAGAGAATTCCCAGATTTTCTTAGAAGACAGTATTGGGTATTGAAATGAGATGAATTCAAACAGAACGGAGTTGATATAGAAGATTCAAGGTCGACTCGAACTAATTTGGGATTGAGGCGTAGTTGTGGTTGTTGTTATTGTAGGACGACAAAGTTGGATTCAATCTATAGGATTCATGAAAAAGAAAACCAACAACAATTTGAGTGCATTAAATGGAAGATGAATGTTCAAATGGATTACAACTTGAAAGAAGCACAGATAAGATATTGTTCCCTAATTAAATGGAAGTAAGTTCTTGACTCTTTTTCCCCCCATCATTCAGTCCCCTCCTTGAACCGGCTAATTCATGAATAAATAGGCCAACAATCATGATTTCTTTTTACTCATCTGCAACTTTGACAATCTTTTTGCCTATATTATCACCACGGAATAGTCCAATAAAAGCAGAGGGAATGCTTTCAACACCTTGTGAAACATCCTCAATGGCCTTAAGTTTTCCAGCTTGTAAGTACTCAACAGTTTTCGACAGGAAATCTGCATACACTTTCATAAGATCAGCTGCTAGGAAACCTTGGATGGTAATCCTCTTGTAGACTATATCCAACATCTCGGGTGCAGCTCGTGTACTGACATTCGTGTACTCAGAAATAACCCCACATACGGCTACTCTGCCAAATGAGTTCATGTTTGCCACTGCTGCTTCTAGCATCTTGCCTCCCACGTTGTCGAAGTAGACATCAATCCCTTGAGGGAAACACCTTTTGAGAGCCGACTTAAGGTCAGTTTCTTGTTTATAATTGAATGCATCGTCGAAACCTAGTGTCTCTTTGAGAAACTTTACCTTTTCTTGGCTACCAGCAGAGCCAACAACATAACATCCAAGTAATTTAGCATACTGTCCTACTAAATTTCCTATTGAACCAGAAGCAGCAGACACAAAAACTTTCTCCCCTGGTTTCGGCTTGCACACATCGAAAAATCCACCATAGGCAGCAAGTCCACTGAATCCAAAAACTCCAACATGGTAAGATAAAGGAAAGCCCAGAATCTCCAGCTTATTCAGCAGTGAGCCCTCTTTTACTCTAGTGTACTCTCCCCAGGTAAGAAGACCTGCTACCAAATCATCTTTCTTGAAGTCGGGCCGATGAGAAACTAACACTCTTCCCACACCATAAGTGTCAATGGCATCCCCGGGAACAATGGCAGCTGCAAAACTTATAGCTGCTTGTGATGAACTTTGGCTCTTCATCCGGTTTATTTGATATGGATCAATTGATAAAAACAGATTCTTGACAATAACCTCCTTAGACTCAGGCTCTACTATAAGGGAGACGTTTTCGACTTTTATCTCAAAGTCAGATTCTTCTGGTGCACCATTTATGTTGGATTTTATTGCTACATACTTGTTCTTTATTTCCATCTTGTAGGTAACTTTTGGCTTGGCACAATATTAAGAGAGGGTTAGAATAAGTGTAGAAGAATGTGTTGGGAATTATTCTCAGAAAGGCTAATATGACTCAACCATTTTTAGGTCCTTATATACGAATGAGTTAGGTATTGTCAGACTATTCTCACTGTTCTTTTTGCAATATTCCCATTAGATTAATGTGCCAGCAGCAGCATCAAAATAACGAAACTGACAAGCGCATAGATTCTGTTATGCCGTCTTAATTAAAACAGATGGTCACTAGCATCAAGATTGTCACTATCATTAGTATCAGATACTTGTAGAAATGGGTAAGAAAAAGACAATTTAAGAGGCAGTCCTTGCCGCTCATTACTAAGCTTTTGTTGTTACCTTTCGTCTTTGCGATTACCTTCGAGTAAATTCTTGAATCTTGACTAGGTAAGCTATGATTGAGAGAAAAATATGCGTTAATTTAACAACATTTACAAGGACCAATGGGTAAATTAATATCAAAATAGAAAGATCTAGTTACTACGATTTACATGTAAATCAGATCCTTTTTTTTGGATAACCCGAGAAATTCTGGAGGGTTAGTGGCATAGATTTTGCTGGTGTTAAATCTTTTCCGAACGAAAGTCGTATGTACAGCTTAAACCGGATAAAAATACATACAAAATCCACGGGGCATTTCCCGGTTAAAATAATAAACTAAGGGACAACCTCTGACCTCAAAATCAAGCAAGCTTAAACGTTCTAATATATGCCTCCCGACCCCGAGTGAGATCCTAAAATTTGCCTACCCAGTGTGATCAGCCTAAATATGCTCTTAGCGATTAAACAATAAAATGAAATAGTAAATGTGTAGCAGTGTTTTAAAAGGCATTTTCGGGGCGAGGCGCACCAAAAGCGCCTCGGGACGATGGTGTGAGGCGAAAGTCTCAAGAGGCGTACGCCCAGCTATTCGGGGCGTATGCCCGGGCGTTCGGGGCACATTCTTTTAGTGAGGCGTAAGCTCCAAAGATTTTTTCAAATTAAAACAAAATTTGTTGAATAAGTCCTTCATATAATACCCAAATTCTCAAAATTCAGCTTGGTAATTACTCAAAAATTATAAAATGGAACTGAAATGTATTAAATTTAAAAATTAAGACCTTTTTTATTGATTGAAGCTCCAATTCATGATCTTTCCCAATTCTTTATCTTGTCCGCTAGTCTGCTAATATCTCCCAAAAGCAACGAATATTCATTTTTTTTTTTACAAATACAAAGAGAACTTCATTCTCCTTCATAGCAGCAAGTTCAAAGTTCAAATTGCAGGTTAGTCATCCTTTTTGTTCCTTCATGTAGAAAACTATATTCTTTTCGACTCAAGTTACTTGAGCTTCTAAGTAGCGTATAATATATTATTTTGACTAGCTTTTTGTGGGAGATGAAGCACATCTATATATATATATATATATTTCACATATTTATAGTTTTTTTTTATTTTTTATGCAATTTTATCTGTTTATAAATATTTAATGTAATTATAATATTTTATAAAAAATTAAAAATTAAATACTTATGAGGCTTACGTCCCGTGCCTCGGGGTTTACGCCTCGCTGAGGCATATATAAAACGACTTGACTTACGAAGACGCCTTTTAAAACACTAATGTGTAGTACTCAAATCTCAATTCTGTTTCTTTTAAATTCCAACTCCACGTCCCAAATCCATTTCAATAATCTTGGCCAAAATTTCTTTTCCTAAGCTTGTCAATCCACGGCCCATTAATCCAACTTAAACCAATAATTCATGAATTGATTCATTTATCATAAATTATGCTCTATTCACAGTATAATTAATTATAATGAGCAATTTGACTGTCGAATGTTCACTAAGATGTCCTAGTGAGGGCAACTTCAGATCACTCCAAAGACAAGAAAAAACACATCATCATAGCCATATAAATCATAAACACACGCATCAAATTAAGAAGGATGGTGTAACAGATAAAGAATTGGACCTCAAATTGAGCGGAAGCACCTTCAAAAACTCGATCAAATATGAAATGCCAAACCCATGAATTTTACAGCAGAAGACCGTGGACAGAGAACTCGAATCACAGCTTGAAACTAATGGTGAACCTCTCGCCGGAGCTCCAAACGGTAACCTCAAACGAAATTTCTGCTATACCCCATTCAAATATGGTAAAAATTAAATTGGGTTTATATCCGGCGAAGTACTGGTGTGTTCATCTTTTATCCCGTAGCTAATTAGCGTAAACCAACAAAGTAGGACTCGCCGAGGAAAGAAAACTGCCAGAGAAAACCTATTTGTGAGCTTTCCCTCAAATATATGTAAAGATCAATAGGCACCAAAACCAGAGAATCAAAATTGTGTAGGTGTTGCGGCAATTTCGATTTCTAGTCGTCTACTTGGGACATTAGCTCTCCGTTCTCTCCCCCTTTGTTTTTTCTACTCTGTTCTTTTCTCAGTTCTCTCTCCGTTGCTCTCCAAATTCCCTCTCCTCCCTGTCTGCTTTTGGGGTATTTTTTATATATCCCCCGAATTATCTTGGAGAAAAGAAGTGAACCTCAGAACTGTGTGGACTCCATTCAATTGATGATTTTATATGTCTGTGCCTTTTCATTGGCTAATAACGTGTGTAATCCTATCCAAATTCAATTGATGATTTTGTTGTTTATGTGAGTAATGATCAAATATTAAGAGTGAGTTTGCAAATGTGCATGTGTGTGCTTTTTGTTATATGAAAATAACATGATATCCTTTTCTTTTTATCTACATTTCTTTTCTGCTAATGATGAACCAAAATGCCTTAGACTAATAGACAATATTCAAAATACTTCAATATTTATTAAGATTACAACTTAAGAATCACAATAAACTAAGTAAAATAATATTATTTCTGTCAATACTATTTTTGTATTTTTCAATTTTATGAAAGTATTATAAACTAAAAGTAACTAGATAAATATCAATTAGTTAAAATAAAGGAAAATATTTTTGTAACTTTCATTCTTTTAGATAAAATAAAACAAAAATGAACTGAAAGTTAAAATACCTAAAATAAGCATGTAAGCAACAAACGGTATAAAATCTACGGAAGGGTAAAAAAATTCCATGTTTACAAACGTCCCTAATTAAATGGAAGTAAGTTCTTGACTCTCTTTCCCCCCTTCATTCAGTCCCCTCCTTGAACCGGCTAATTCATGAATAAATAGGCCAACAATCATGATTTTTTTTTACTCATCTGCAACTTTGACAATCTTTTTGCCTATATTATCACCACGGAATAGTCCAATAAAAGCAGAGGGAATGCTTTCAACACCTTGTGAAACATCCTCAATGGCCTTAAGTTTTCCAGCTTGTAAGTACTCAACAGTTTTCGACAGGAAATCTGCATACACTTTCATAAGATCAGCTGCTAGGAAACCTTGGATGGTAATCCTCTTGTAGACTATATCCAACATCTCGGGTGCAGCTCGTGTACTGACATTCGTGTACTCAGAAATAACCCCACATACGGCTACTCTGCCAAATGAGTTCATGTTTGCCACTGCTGCTTCTAGCATCTTGCCTCCCACGTTGTCGAAGTAGACATCAATCCCTTGAGGGAAACACCTTTTGAGAGCCGACTTAAGGTCAGTTTCTTGTTTATAATTGAATGCATCGTCGAAACCTAGTGTCTCTTTGAGCAACTTTACCTTTTCTTGGCTACCAGCAGAGCCAACAACATAACATCCAAGTAATTTAGCATACTGTCCTACTAAATTTCCTATTGAACCAGAAGCAGCAGACACAAATACTTTCTCCCCTGGTTTCGGCTTGCACACATCGAAAAATCCACCATAGGCAGCAAGTCCACTGAATCCAAAAACTCCAACATGGTAAGATAAAGGAAAGCCCAGAATCTCCAGCTTATTCAGTAGTGAGCCCTCTTTTACTCTAGTGTACTCTCCCCAGGTAAGAAGACCTGCTACCAAATCATCTTTCTTGAAGTCGGGCCGATGAGAAACTAACACTCTTCCCACACCATAAGTGTCAATGGCATCCCCGGGAATAATGGCAGCTGCAAAACTTATAGCTGCTTGTGACGAACTTTGGCTCTTCATCCGGTTTATTTGATATGGATCAATTGATAAAAACAGATTCTTGACAATAACCTCCTTAGACTCAGGCTCTACTCTAAGGGAGAGGTTTTCGACTTTTATCTCAAAGTCTGATTCTTCTAGTGCACCATTTATGTTGGATTTTATTGCTACATACTTGTTCTTTACTTCCATTTTGTAGGTAACTTTTGGCTTGGCACAATATTAAGAGAGGGTTAGAATTAAGTGTAGAAGAATGTGATGGGAAATACTCTCAGAAAGGCTTTATATGACTCAACCATTTTTAGGTCCTTATATACTAATGAGTTAGGTATTGTCAGACTACTTAGCTCACTGTTCTTTTTGCAATATTCCCATTAGATTAATGTGGCAGCAGCAGCATCAAAATAAAGAAACTGACAAGCGCATAGATTCTGTTATGCAAAGACAATTTAAGCGGCAGTCCTTGCCGCTCATAACTAAGCTTTTGTTGTTTCCTTTCGTCTTTGCGATTGCCTTCCGAGTAAATTCTTGAATCTTGGCTAGGTAAGCTATGAATTTAACAACATTTACAAGGACCAATGGGTAAATTAATATCAAAATAAAAAGATCTAGTTACTACTATTTACATGTAAATCAGATCGTTTTTTTTTTTGGATAACTGAGAAATTCTCGAGGGTTAGTGGCATAGATTTTGCTGGTGTTTAATCTTTTCCGAACGAAAGTCGTATGTACCGCTTAAAAGGAAATCTTTCATATCTTTCGAGAGGTCGAAACTAAATAGACATGACTCTCACCTTTATCTTTCTCTACTTAAATACAAGGCTCTTATTATCTGTACGGATCACGCCATGCACATTTAATCCACACATCAAGCGATGCGATCTAACCACCAGCTCAAGGGATTTACATTGACAGACTCACAGGAAGGTATAGGATTACCATTTACCTCATAGTTATTTTAAACCATTTTAGGCTTCCAACTAAATCAACCATTTTAGCTGTTGTATGGACGGCAGGATTTGGCTCAATTTTCAGTATTATAACAGAATAAAAAAGCCATTTTAAAATTTGATAGCCTGCCAGTAGGAACAGAATATAGCGTCTGAACTTTTCAAAGAAGATTAATAGCCTTTTTGGCCAAACTTGTCCAATTTTATTTTTTTCCCCAAAGTTTGAAGTGTTTGGCCAAAAAGAAAAAGAAGTATTTTTTAGTAGAAGCAGAAACATAAGCAGATTTGGAGAATTAGAATAAAGTAGCTTCTTCCCGGAAGTACTTTTTTGATAAGCACTTTTGAGAAAAATACACTTAGAAACACTTTTAAAAAGTTTGACAAAACACAAATTGCTGCTTAGAAGTGTTTCAAATTAATTAGTCAAACACAAATTATTTTTCACCAAAAGTACTTTTGAAAACTGGTTTTTACACCTTGGCCAAATAGGGTATAAGACAAGTTGCTGAACAACAAGAACTTAGCATTAAAAATAACTGTGCCAACCACTTGACTAGATAAAACATGCAACAATACAACATCTGATGCAACCTAACTAATAAACCATCTGAAAAAATAGCACAAGCAAATTAATTTCCCTGCTTTCCTACTGTAAGCTAAATTACTTATCGCCAACATGAGGTGAAGCTAAACTCTCAACATAAGTAACAGCTTGTACTTGAAGACAACGACCTGATGAATGAATGTCCAAGGATTTGTACGAAGCGTTCCTCGAGTTGAACAACCTTATATCCGTACCAAGCTTCACTAAAACTTCGTCACCATTCTCAGATACAAACAGAGGTGAGATATAACCCATACGACCAAAGGGTGACGAGAGAGAAACCAACTTAGTCCATGAATTCTCCATGCCATACTCCTTCATCACCCACAAATCAGTCTTATCCAGATGATAGTTGCAACAGGCAACTAAACATCCACCTAAAACGCTTAACATCCAACTGAATTCTCCATTTCCATTTCCACAACGAGGCAATGCCATTACTCCATACGTCTCAGTAGCCAAATCAAAAGTCATAATCTCCGAAGAAGCACCTGAATCGCGACACTGGCTTACCTCCCAGTGAAGAGCTCCATTCGCAAACAACCCCGATTGTGCATTTACATAACCACTATTAAACCCCTCAATCATTGTCCAAGAATTAGCCCTTGAGCTATAAATCTTAACCATATTCTCATATTTCCCCTCATCCTTAGGAAAACTAAAGACCTTAACAACCTTATAATCATCATTACTACCATCATAACCAAACCCATATCTAACATAATAACTTACACCACTTTGAACAAATGAATCTTGAAATTCTTTGCATTTTCCAGTTGATGGGTTCCACAAAATCAGATTAAATGACACTGCTGTTAAACATAACAATCCATTACAAGAACCCACAAATTTCGCAGATCCAATAGGGGCTTTCAAAGTATAATCAAGATTAGCAACATTCATTGAGGAATTTTTTTCACACACTATAGAGTAAATAGAGCTCATTTTACCCACTAAACCTGATACTGAAGCTACTATAGCAAGTCTAAGATTCACATTTTTGCAATCTTGAGCAGAAAATATGATTTGGGTGTTGATAAAATGTGGATTTGACAGTAAAGAAAGCCAAGATTTTGAAACACACCTTAATTTCAACAGGGATTTTACTGGCAACCTTATGAGAATTTCAATGATAATTTCATCTGGAAGGCATGAAAGTTGCAATAAATCTTGGGAAATTTTTGTGGGTGTTTTTTCAGATATTTGAATTATTAGTGGCTTTTGATTTTCCATTGAAGCAAAGCTCTTTCTAGATAGGGAAGTGGAGGAGGTGAGAAGAAAGATATGGTTGAAGTCTTCGGATATTTGACTTTGGGGTTTTCTCCAAATTTTCTGGTAAAGGTTAGAAGACAAGTTGCAATGGAAGTCCTTATAATAAAGTAAATTAATTTCAGCCAAAAAGTTTTAATGGTCCCAACATAAACTTAACAATCCAGATTATAAGAAATTTTATAATAAAAATTTGGAGTTTGATCCAAAGTGAACAATGACATGTTAAAAAAAAAAATAGGACTAGTTTATCCAAACAATTGGTATCACAGTCCAAGTTCGGCGGGACGAGTATGACAATAGTTGTTGGACTAAACCAACCTAAAGATACTCTTAACATGATGTGATATACTCCGTTTTGGACCAAGCCCGCACACTTTTTTCCACAATTAAGAGATCCTACCACTTATATGTAGGTCTCTCAAGATTTTATTCGCACACTTAATATGAAATAATACACATACACACTCTTGTGCTTTATAAAAAAAAAAAAAAAGACGAAGAAAATCATCCCACAATCATGAAGTATTAAAGAACGATTTTATGATTCATTACTTTTAATTATATGATATTTCTTACAGGAATTTGATTAAATATTATAGAAGATCAATAAAAAAAACACAGAAAATCTTGATAGAATCATTTTCAAATTTTAATTGATTATAGTAGATCATTCCTCCCTATAATATCAGCATAAACTAAAACATGAAACTCCAAACTTTGTTTGTTTCTTGAGAGTAAAGTGACAACAACCACCCAACTACTTTAGTTTAGATATATTTATTTAATTTTCTTAATGTTGTTGAACTGTATGAACTGACTAAACTAAAAATTTAATCTATTAAAATAATCTTCTAGATGGGGATGTGCAGGAGGTGAGAAGAGAGAGATATGGTGGAAAGTCTTTGGATAAATGACTCTTAAGAGTTTTCTCCAATTTTTTTTTTTTTTTTTTTATAAAATGGCTTTTAAGACAAGTTGCAATGGAAGTCCTTATAATAAAGNTTTTCTCCAATTTTTTTTTTTTTTTTTTTGATAAAATGGCTTTTAAGACAAGTTGCAATGGAAGTCCTTATAATAAAGTGTAAATTAATTTTTGCCAGAAAGTTTAGTGGTCCCATAGACACTGAAATTTTAACGGATCAAGCTAAATCCTAAATTCAAGATACTATAAGACTCTTGAAATCCTAATAGTGTATTAGAGTTGTTTGGAAGTTAGTCTACCATAAACTCTAACTCAAACCTATATAAATGGATACATATTCCCTTGAAGAGACGTTTCAAAATCCCATAAACTCTTGGGATATTCGCAAAGAGATCAAAATATAGTGTGATACTTCTTGACAATCAAATAGTTGAAGAAACTAGAGATCAAATACATCTCAGTGGGTCTGCATCATCCTATATTCGATAAATACGCTGCTTCAGTCCTCGAATCATAGAGATAATCAGGAGAGAAGAATAAAGGGAGAAACAGAATTGTACTCACAGTTGATTAGTAAGAATATTTTTCTCTTATTTTTCGATCGCAATTTATTTTTCATATCTTGAAAATTTATTGCAAACAAATTGGCACGCCGAGTGGGACCAGTTCTGCTCTTCATCTCTTCCTCCTGTAAATCGAAAATTTCAAGTTTCAAAATCATTTGTTACGATGGTTGAGTACTTTAAGTCTCGTATTCAAGTTTCGGCAAGCGTACACCCCGACAAACCTTGAAGTAGGGAGCATTTGTAGACACCGAAATTTTAACGGATTAAGCTAAATCCTAAATTCAAGATATTACAAGACTCTTGAAATCCTAGGAGCCTATTAGGGTTGCTTGGACGTTAGTCTACGCTAAACTCTAACTCACATCTCTATAAAGGGATACATATTCCCTTGAATAGGCGTCTCAAAAATCTCATAAACTCTTGGGATATTCACAAAGAGATCAAAATATGGCCGGATATTTCTTTACAATCAAATAGTTCAAGTAGCTGGAGATCAAATACATCCCCAGGAGGTCTGCATCATCCTACATTAGAGAAATACGCTGCTTCAGCCCTCAAATCATGGAGATAATCAGGAGAGAAGAATCAAGGGAGAAACAGAATTGTACTCACAATTGATTAGTAAGAATATTTTTCTCTTATTTTGTGATTGCAGTATATTTTTCATATCTTAAAATATTATTGCAGACATCCATATAACATATGACATCTTTACATGATTTTTTTTTCATTTAAATTGTGATTGATCGCATTAGATCATTTTCTCCTCAAAATCTGTATAAACATGAAACTCCAACGTTGTTTTATCTTAAAAGTAACATGACAGCAAGTAAGTAACCCCCAACTACTCCTTTTCTTAATTTAAATTAAATACTAATTTAAAATTTCTTTACTATAGTTGAACTGTGTGAACGGTCCCAGGTATAATTTTAAATATTAGAAGTTGCGACAATTTTATAATGTATTTTGGTTAGCAGCTTGTCTTCTTTCCTTGAATAAAGCGTGCGATAATATTGTTTTGGTTGATGATGGTGAAATTTGAGATCAGAACCTTTATCTACTTTGATAGTAATATTGAAGCGTGTGAACCAAAAGTTTACAACATATATCTACTTTAATATTAGTATCCGATAAAACTTATGAATAATTTGTACCAAAGTTATATTTTTGCCCGTTATAATTTGTGAACAAAGCAAATTTTATCAATCGGGCAGAAGTTATGAATAATTTGTATCAAAGTTATGGTCCGTCCAGCATAACTGGTGAACAAGGCAAGTTTAATCAATTCGAACAAACTCATGTACCAAAGCTATAACCATATGCTATTTTTGTACAAATTCCTTAGATAATGACAAATTCAAATGACGACGCAGAGTGATTATACTTGTGCAAATCACCCGATCAAAAGTGCTGTAATTCTAGTTGATTAGCGATGACTATGAGAATTAAACTTTTGAAAATCTATGCGGTATACCCATTGAAAACACCAGTTAACTTCCTATACATTTAAAATATTTATTTTACCTTGTATACCTATTTTATAAAACTTTATTTATTTTTTAAATCTTGAATATCATTATATAATATTAAACAAATCCCACCTTTTAAAGAATTAAATTATCTCACTCCAACTTAATATATCCCTTAAAACACTCCATCATCCCACGTTTTAAGGAATTGGGGTTATACGTACCTTCTCACCAAAAAGTCCAAACCCCAAAAATTTCTCTAATTTTTCTTCTCTTCCATCTAAATCAAAAGAAAAACAAAAATAAGTTGAAAATGTTTTAACTTGGGATACAATATCTAAAGTCTAAACTAAAATAAAATACTAGAATGTACTATTCAAACCAATACACCACAACATCCTAATAAAAAATATAATGTTCAAATCAAACAAACTATAGTATTCTAATTTGGAATACAATATTCAAATCGAACATACCACAATATTCTAATTTAGAATACAATATTTAAATCAAACACACCGCAATATTCTAATTTTAAATGTAGTATTCAAATCAAACATACCACAAGATTTTAATTTAAAATATAATATTCAAATCAAATATACCAAATTACAATAGTTTAATGAAGAATATATAATTCAAACCAACATACCAAAATATTCTACTAAAGAATACAATATTTAAACCAAACACACCATAGTATTCTAATTTTAAATCCATATTCAAACCAAACATTACATATTCAAACAAAACATACCACAATATTCTAATTTGGAATATAGTATTCAAATAAAATATACCTTTATTTTTATTTGTTGTGTATAATTTATTTTACTTGTAATATTAACATGCTATATATAATCGTATATAATATTCTAATTTGGAATACAATCACAATATTCTAATTTAAAATATAGTATTCAAACCAAACATACCACAATATTCTAATTTGGAACATAGTATCCAAACCAAATATACCTTTATTTTTATTTATTGTGTGTATTTTATTTTACTTACAATATTAACATGCTATATATAATACTAGTATACAATGAATAATTTACTGAATAATTGTTTATTGTATAAAAGAAAATAAGGACAAAGGATCTCATAAGAAAAGGCTTTGTTTAAAGGAAAATCTTTTTTTATTCTTTAATTTTGGTCCAAAGTTTAAACGGATGGAGTGGATTTGCTTCATATAGATCGAAACTTTCCTTTAATTAGGGAGAAAATTTATATGGTAATTATTATTCTTTTGATTAAATGAATATGTAGGGTAATTAATTGATGTGTACTACATGTAATTTCATAATTGAAATATATTGTGTTAAGAGGTATACCGTGTAAAGTTCCCAAAACTTTTTAAAGTGTTTCGGCCCATCGACAAGCCCAATTCAACTCTATGAGACCGACTGGTTGGCTTGAGTTGAGTTAAAAAGCCTCAATTTTAAATGGGCTAAAAATATGCCAGTGTAACTGTAGTAATAGGGCTGTCTTGTTACTTGGGATATTATCACTTTTAGCTCGTGCCAGAAACTATTTATATCTGGTAGCCAAAAAAGTGTATAAAACTTGTATAATTTTTGTATATAACATACAGAATGTATATATATACAAAAAATATATAAATTATATATATTTTTTTGGCTATTATTTTACAGTGGCTATACCGTATCATTTTTCCTTACTTTTTAGTCCAGTAATTGAAAAATACTCATTGTAATGGAGTTTTAAATTCCAGAGGTAAAAAATTATAATAATATGCTAGAATTTTATCCGTAAAATTTAAAATTACATAACAATGACTATTTTAAGGGCTAAAAAGTAACTATTTGGAGGTTTTGTCCTGTCCAACTTCACCCAATTAGTGGGTTTGGATTGGACTAGGATCGGGGTTGAGCTCACCCAATTAGTGGGTTGAGCTCATTATAACGACTCTATAATTATGATATTTTTACGTAAATATACTATATTAGAAAATTATTTACCCAGAGAGGTTTTAACTTAATTATAATCTTATATATACAATTTATTAATTATACACAAATTAGTATTAAATGAGTATTCCTTGATTGTATGTATTTAATTTTATGTTCAACCTCCGAAGCATTTTTTAA